ACAATATGTTACAAGAATCCATTGAAGGGTCGTAGCTTTCTTGTAAACAGTTGTGGGAACTCAGTTACCTTACTCAGAGCTTAAATTATTACTGTTTTATGACTTACATCACCTAATACAGTGGAGTAGGGGTCATCAACCTTTTTGATCAGGATACAGGTTCACAGTCCATCGGACGAGGGCCGGACTATATATTTATATATTTTATTTAAATACGAGTGGTGCAGATTGCACCATATCGAAAAATAACTGCCTTGTGGAAAATCAACCAACTACTGTTAATGATTTCAATGCGAAATTAAACAGTCCAGCAACCCGGTGCATAACTGTACAAGCTGAAGTTGACCCCGTGACCTATGTCCTAAAAAAAATTGAATGACTTTCCGAGTCCTCTCCCTGCAGCCGTTGGGTGGTATGCCAAAACAGTAACGTCTCAGAGCATTGTATACGCAGAACATGATGGCAGTGTGGCATGTGTCAATAATTAGTTGACCATCTTTTGCAGTGACCTGGCGCCGCTGTCAGGACAAATATAGCTGTTACTCATTCATGTCATCCTGTGGGATAAGAAAACTTGACAAAATTCCCCCCTCAAAACTGTACCACAGCATGAAAAACTATTTTTTTTTTTTAAATATAAATTATATATTAAAATGTCAAAAATCGATTTTTTAAAATTGTAAAATAACTTTTTCATTTTTTTTTTTCGCTTTGAATTTGAATGCATGAATACAAATGAATAGTCTCCCCTTGTTGCGCTCACATTTTAGCATATTTACGTCATTCACAAATGGATATATGGCTACTTGTTTAATATCTTAAAATGAAAATAGCTACCAGTAATCATCATTATTATTGTGCTACGTGGTTTTATATAGCGTGGTACCCCGGCCTAGGACTGGACTCACCACGCTGTACATACACTTTAACAAACATAATAGAAATCTGAAATAATTGATTGACATACATTAATTAAATAAAGCAAAACAAATGTATATATAAAACTATTTACATCTCAAGCCATGGATGAAACTCAGTATCATCGTTTTTCGATCAGAGGTGGGAATCAGTCAGGATAGTAGAGTTTAAAAAGATGTGTTTTGAGAGCAGTTTTGAAGGCTGTGATGGTCGGTATATTGCGGATGTGTAATGCAAGAGAATTCCATTGTTTAGGGGCACAGAAAGAGAACGATCGTTCACCGTATGTTTTTGTGCGAGTCTTGCGGAGGAGCGAAGCTGTCTAAGGGGTGAATAGACAGACAGAAGTTCGGTTAGATAGGAAGGGGAGGAATTCGAGAAAAAGTTGTGGCAGAGAACAGAGAGTTTGTAGTCAATGCGTGCTTGTATAGGGAGCCAATAAAGTGAATGAAGTCGTGGTGTGACGTGATAAGTCCGATTTAAGTCAAATTTTGAGTTTTTACTCTAGTCAATAGAAATTTTATTTAAAAAATGTACAGGTTTTGAATTTGATGACAGTTAAGGTGAAGTTAGACATAATTCTGCTGTTAATCGTGCTAGCTGTAGTAATACAGATTTTTTCTATCTAAATTAATAAAGTAAAAAAAAAATTAAGTCCGCCCGTCTTGACAAAGTTGTTGATTCAGTTTACAACCTTATTTTTCACCGTAGCAGAGGAGTTACAGTTAAGCCATGCCGTTGTAATAAAGAGGAATAATGACTTATGCAGCTAGTTTGTTCTTGATTAAGTAATATTAAATAGATTTAATTAATGAATACAAGTTCAAAGAACACTCACTTACTTGGTTAATGTCATCTGATCGACAATTGGTTCAATTACTATAACTACTACTACATGTCCAGTAGTCCATCGACCGTTGGGGCGCCACAGATGACAAAAACACCCCCTCCCTCCATTCCTCTCTGTTTTCTGCACTTCGCCTAGCTTTACTATAAACTATAAGAATTGAAACGTTGTTGTTGTGTGTGTGTGTTATCGTTGTTGTATTGGGGAGGTGGTAAGAGAATGATAGCTGTCACTATAAGATAAGTTTCATGATGGGGTTCTAATCTATTTAAAAGCATATTCCTGTTTATTTTTTATTTAAAATGCTTTAGGATGTAGTCCTTTAAAAAACAATTCACTCTCTCTACCACTCCCCCGTTCCACCATTTCCCCCTTCCACCACTCCCGCCTTCCACCAATCCACCACTTCCCCTTTCCACTCTCCTCCCCCTTTCCACCACTAACCCTTTCCACTCTCCTCCCCCTTTCCACTCTCCTCCCCTTTCCACTCTCCTCCCCCTTTCCACCAATCCAGCCTTCCACCACTTCCCCTTTCCATTCTCCCCCCCCCCTTTCCACCGATCCCGCCTTCCAACACTTTACCTTTCCACTCTCCTCCCCTTTCCACTCTCCTCCCCTTTCCACCACTTCCCCTTTCCACTCTCCTCCCCCTTTCCACCACTCCCGCCTTCCACCACTCCTCCTTTCCACCACTAACCCTTTCCACTCTCCTCCCCTTTCCC